ACACCACCCCCTCCCTGCTGAGGGAGCAAGGACCCCACACCACCCCCACTATCCCTCTTCGGGGGGGCGTCCGGAGCCGAAGGGGGGACTGTGAACAAGCCTGAGGAGAGCTGGGAAGGACCCCACACGCCCACCCGGCCAGGAGGGGCGTGGAGCCCAGAACACCCCCCCGCCCCTCGCCTCAGAGACTTCCGGGGAAGGATCCCGAACTTCCCCTGAGGAGGCTTCTGGAGAGGGGCGAGGACCCCGCAATCCCCGCCCCCATCTGAGGGGGCTTCCCAATAGGAAAAGACCCCGCGTCCCCCCTCCCTGGAGCCGCGAGCGGGAGGGCGGGGTTCCCATTACCGTAGGCAGCGGTCCTCGGGGCTGCCCCGTCCCCGCGGCTCCGCGCCCCACAGCCGCTGCCTGCCTCGCTCTGCCCCCTTCGCTGCCCTGTTTGTTTTTGTTTTGTTCTGCCCAGCGACACGGCCACGAGCGGCCGCCGCGGATTGGTCGCCTGGCTCTACCCGCCGCAGCCAATCAGAGGGCGAGGGGCTGGGAAGGGGGCGGAAGAGAAGGAGCGTACTCAACCGGCAAAGAGGGAGGGCGACACCATCCGCTCGGAACGGGCGGGTGTGGGTGTGTCCTGCAGGGAAGGAATAGGAAGGAACCATTGTGTGTTGAGGAAGGGAGGGGAAGGCAGGGGTAGTCCAGCCTACTGGGGAGGGAGGGGCACTCATCATCCTATTGGCCCCAGGACATTGTCTGGGGAGGGGGAGGAGTGATCAGACTCCCCAGGCCTGTTAAGAGGAGACATGTACAAGGCAGAGGGTATCAGAGGGGTAGCCGTGTTAGTCTGAATCTGTAAAAAGCAACAGAGGGTCCTGTGGCACCTGTTAGTCTTAAATGTGCCACAGGACTCTCTGTTGCTTTTTACAAGGCAGAGGGGGGTCTTTGCTGCCCCATAGGGCCCTATGAAGTGGTGGGGTGGGGTCCCAAGGTGCTGGAATGAGGAGGTATTGGGACTCAAATTGCCTCCGCAGGTTCTATCGCCCGGCACCTTGTATGGGTCTGGTCTAAATGAGCATAGGGTGGCAGGAACTTATGTTGCCAGTGGCCAAAAGCCCACCCATTCTGCCACCCTCCCATCCCTTTGGGAGGGCATTTATCACCCCATCAGCTGGTTTATTCACCCATCCGCTGCAAAACTCCTGGGGGCCAGTGTACTCACCGGGGCAGAGGCCAGGGCAGTTGCCTTCCCAAAGAGCCTTATTAATAGCAGTTAAATACTGGGATCTAAAGCAGAGGAATAATTGTTATTTTTCAGTCCCATAAATGTTTATGGCCCATGGCACAGAGGCCATGCCATCTAATACACATAATGATGCCACCTCTAAGGTACAAAAAAACAGGACATTTGGGGTGATGCTGAGGCCAAAAAACTGGACAGCCGGCAGTGTGTATTGAGCACCCCTTCAGATTTCACAGGACAGCTACCTCAAAAAAGGGACAATCATGGGAAAACCTGGTTAGGTTTTCTTGCATGTATTTAACCTTGCATGTATTTTTTCTTGCATGTATTTAACCCTAAATACATGCAAGAAAAAATACAAGCCAAGAGGGTGCAGAGAAGGTGTTGGGGTCAATGGAGGTCATCAAATGCACGATTTCTCAGTATAAACGAGAGACAATTTAATGTAACACTTAGTGAAGAAGGCTTAAGAGCCCTGCAGTTAAGAAGGGAGCCAAAAAAAACAACAACTCAGCATGGCACTATGCATTGATATCACAATTAGATAATGCATCATCAGCTTTTTTCCCTCAACCTCAGTTTAGCCCTGCAGGACACCAGACCGATCTGCTTAACATAGGACGTTATTGCTCCATAGCTAGAGTAAAGGTGGCTTTAAGGAAGCCTGGGTGATCTATGCAGCTGCATTGTGCACTGTATTTCCAGGGGCTCTGTGTCACATATGTATATGTAATGCCGACAGACCCCGGTCGTCGGCGGGCAGGATTGAACCAGGGACCTCTGGAGCTTAGTGCTGCCTCTACCGCATGAGCTAAAAGCTAACTGGCTGTTAACTAACGCTGTAGAGCAGACTCATTTAACTCTCTCTCTCAGTGGTCTTGGTGCCACTAGATGCAACAGAACACTACACCCAGAAGGTGTGTGGGTTACACATACTCAACCCAGGCATAGCATGGGTCCCATGCGGGCTAAATCACTGATTCCCCATCCATCATCCATTGAGGGCTGCATGACAGATACTCAGTTCGCTTGCTGCCCTCATCCACTTGTAATGTTGTGCTTGCATCTGAAGAAGTGGGCTTTTACCCACTAAAGCTCTAATAAATCTGTTAGTCTTTAAGGTGCCACCGGACTCCTCATTTGGGGGATACAGACTAACACGGCTACCCCTCTGATTCTTTAGCATTATCTCCTGATTTCTCAGCAGCCCATTTAAGAGAATTATTAGAGCCAACCTGATACTATAGAGAGAGGCACATAGACCTCAAACAAACAGACCAATTTAGATTAGGTTTGCTGAGTCCAAAGTGTGAGACAGTGTGAACACACCTTGAGCAGACAGGCAGGAAGTGGCTGGGTGAGGGAGAATGGTATATGTAAACAGGGTGTATAGGGAACCCGGAAGTGTGGAGGGAGATGAACTGGTCCCATGCCAGTTAAATCATAAGACCTACCAAGTAAGGCTAGCCTTGCTGTAGCAGTACATTCCTGCTGTATTTGCCTACAGTGAGGAAATTGAAAAGCTTGAGATTTACCACTCAACACCCAACCCCAAAATTTTCTCTTTGGCAAATGACCAAAAATAAATTGAAATAAATGAAATACTTTTGGGTTTTTTTAAATCAGGAAAATAATATAGTCCTTATCTTTAAGTGACGCCAGACTAGACTAGGGCAAGAACTGTCCTTTTTGCAGTCTGCCTTTACAGGCTACATCTTCCTCCTCCTCCTTTACTATAGTCAGTGTTTTCTCCAGAGTTGCAGCACTGAACATTTTGAGATTCTGGCACCAGGTCTGAGATATCACACCAAAGCCTCAGGCAAGGTAGATATAACTCCTCTACTTGAGGGGAAGGAGGGACGCTGTAGAGTGGAAGATGACCCAGCAGACAGATCCCTTCTAGTCTTGAAATTATGAACCTAATACATACAACCCATATTCGGGGTAGACAGAGAAAATGAAACCACTATGTGCATTGGAATGCTATGAGACATCTCTAGCCAATTCAGTTTTGTTTTTATTGATCTCTCTCGTGTTAGACATCTGCTGCAAAGTGGATTTATTCAGTTACTGGCGGTTGTGTGCTCCTCAGTTAATACCATACAACTTTATTTTGTATAGCATTCCCACTGGAGTTAATGGGAGTTTGGATGAAGTTAGGTGAGGAGGGTTGGACTCTAATAATAAGGAACTGCAGAGGAGAAGGCTTTTGCCAAAGACACCCCAGTAAACCTTTGCACCAATTCCCATTGCACCCTTTGAAGTGCTGTGTAAAATTGCAGAAGGGATTCTGGGAGGCTATTTAGAACTGGAGCACTTGTGAGTCGCTAAAGGTAGGGTCACTAGTCACAAGAGGATGAGAACCCCAATATTGTCCTGGGTATTTCCATGAGATAAAAAGCATTTTTTCTTGTTGAATATCCCTGCTCAGAGCATTGATATCAACCATCATAAACCTCAACTCAACTGGAGCACATACACTTACAGACATATAGATGCTGCAAATATAGCCAAGATTTAGTAAACACTGAATGCCCACACAAATACTTGGCTTGCAACCAATTTGATACATTTCTTCCCCTCTCTGTAACTACCAGGACTAATATTGCACAGCAAATATTCTAACAAACCACAGGTAAAATAAACAGAATTTTCCTTTTTCCCCAGTTTTATAATTCAGATGGAATTAAGTTACCCAAAGTCACTTGGAAATAATCCTTTCTCAATGGTTTCTGCTGGATCCTTGTTTCAGGTGCAAAGTGTCTGAGTTGAGTTGTCCTGTCCTGGATTCTTTAAACCCTGGATGTTGATTGCTGCCTGCTTTATTAACCTGGATTCTTGATAATGATGATGCCTCCTAGCATGGAACTGCCAGTTGGTACTCAAAGCAATTACTAGTCCCCACCCTTGCTTCTGCCCAGAATCTTGTTGATAATTCTGAAGTCAGAGGCAGTTCATAGATTCCCTTTGGAGCTTAAGCTCTGGCAAACAAGTCCCTTTTAGTCTTTGCTTTTCACTAGATTTTCTTTCTCTCTCTCTCTGGTTGTTTTCAAAGAATCCACTACTTTTCTGACATGTTCAACTTACTTGTTGGGCCCACCCATAAACAGAGGAAAGAAAGCTATCGGCCAGAATTCCCCCAAGCAATTAGAATAGCCCTTCCTCCAGCACAGGGAATGCCCTGTTATTCTGCAAGGGGGGGAGCTGTAAGCAATTTGTATAGATACAGTCCGGTTTTAGAACTTATCTACAGATGCCAGTTTGAGGTTACCCTGATACAAGCGTGTTTCATCAAGGTGTCTTTTGAATATTCTTGAATCCTATGTTTCAGAGTGGTAGCCGTGTTAGTCTGTATCAGCAAAAACAATGAGGAGTCCTTGTGGCACCTTAGAGACTAACAAATTTATTTAGCCCACGAAACCTTATGCCCAAATAAATTTGTTAGTCTCTAAGGTGCCACAAGGACTCCTCGTTTTTGCTTGAATCCTATGTGAATCAAAGCTGTTGTGATTCACCCACTTCCAGCAAATATCTAACACAAGAGAAATCAATAAAAACTAATTTGAATTGGCTAGAGATGTCCTATAACATTCCAATGCACACAGTTTCATTTTCTCAACAATTTTTTTTTTGTCATTAAACCATTTCAAAAAGCAACATGTGTGATCCAGACACCTCAATGGTTCTGTTTGACCATAATACAGCCTGTGGAGACTGGAGTCTAGGTTAGAGTATCAATCAATCGAGACAGCAAAAAACAACAGGATCTGCCAAACACAATCCCATTTATCTCGTGGTTTTATTTTCTTATATACATATTTATTCTGCATCCTTTGTGTTGGCATTTGGGTGCCATAATAAAATTAGATGCAAACATAGCAATGCTACTTGGGTAACAAACAATCTAATCCCACTTTGGCCAGTGATGGCTACAGGTTGAAAGGTTTAGTTGAGGTGCTATTTGTTTGTGCTAATTAATTATGGTCATTTTTGAAATTTCCCCATGGTCCTTTGCAATGGCTGCCAAACAGGAAACGCTGTTGCTGCCTGTTTGGAGTTTTACTAGAATGTGCACATTAGTAGAGTGCACGTGAGCTAGATTGTAAATTAGGGGTTCAGATGGTCATGAGCTATGGGTATTATTCGCAGCTCTGTCACTGACTATCTGTGTGACTTTGGAGGAATGACTTAACCTTTCCATGCCTCAGTTTCCCCACCTA